TTCCTAAGATCCCCTCGCATCCTTCTCTTCTCCAGGCTAAACAAGCCCAGCTCCCTCAGCCTTTCCTCATAGGAGAGATGCTCCAGTTCCCTCATCTTCACAGCCCTCTTCTGGACTCTCTCCAGTAGTTCCTCATCTTTCTTGAGGATACTCCACACTTAATTACCTCCTCTAGTTTTCATTAGCAGAGCCATTCATCCTTCACACGCTGACAACCCTCCTTCCTGGTCTGGTTGTGCTGGACCCACTCCAAGTGCTGCAAGGCTCTGCGGGAGCCCGGCAGGTTCCCCTCTCACCAGGCCAGGGCTGCCATCTATTGGGGACAGGCACCGCAGGCGCTGCCAAAGAGCAGCCGGTACCTGCTTCAGAAGGGACATCAGCCCGTGGAGAAAAACGGCTCTGCCCTTCCAGATATGGAAAAGCCACAATTTTCAAAACAGTAAATAAAAGCAGCTCCAGAAATAGCTGGTATCTTTACAGCCTTGTAGTCCCATTGATGCTCAGGCTGGGTTCCAGCCACACTGCCCTAAAGTTTGGGAAGAAATAACACTACTCCAACACTGAGCTGGTTTTGTCTTCCAGTCTCAGGCAACAGCAAAAGCTTATAGTTTAAGTAGATGTGGTAATTTACAGAGGCAAAATAAAGCCAATGATAGCTTGAACCCAGACATGACACCTAATTCAGCGCGGTGGTGCAATTCTGTTCCTTATGAAAGCTGCTGTCTGGAAAAGACCCATCAATTCCTCCAAGAGCTGGGGATTTTAAGTGCTCAACTAGTAATTTCTGTCATCTTTGACAAAAGCTGCATTAGTATTACCTTCTTCTGAAGGTAAGGATGAAGAGATCTGCCCTCCTACACGGCACAGGAATAACTGACACCTTGAAGTTACTCGGACAAGCCTATAACCCTGTCCAGTATCCAGGGCTGGAACCAAGCAGAAGAAACTCCAGAGCCACTGCTCCAGTCTCTGCAGATGTGTTGAATAGCCACGTACCAAAACTCTGCACTGAGTTCCGATGCAGAATTATTCCCCACTTACACACCTGCAAGTATCATGTCCTTATCTTCCTACATCCTTACCCCTTCTTTTGCAGTTAAGGGAGCCTGAAGGACCCACTTGCTGTCTTGGGAATTCCAAAGGAAGCTAATGGAAGGTAAGAACAGTCACTTCTCTCACTCATGCCCATGTAGTATTGAAGGACACAAGTTCAAGTGACCTATAACCTAATGCCGCTCTAACATCTTGGGATACCTCCACACCCCCTCCCCTAGCAGGGCATTATACTAGAATGAGATACTCAGACCTCTGTAAGATAAACAAGACAAAAACTTTTTATTCCGTGAAAAAGAACAGTTAATATTTCCTCTCCCCTGCAGTTAACAAGCTATAGTACTGACAAAACTTTGTTGTTTTGGCTACACAATAGAATGTTCTATTAAAATAAGAATCATCAGTTTAGCCAGAAAAGTAGTCCTCAAAGAAAGTTTCCATAGTTATCTTCTAGTAGGATTGTACCCGATAGCCAGGGAAGAGTCTCTGTAATAAGCTTCCAGGAGATCATCCAGCGACCCTGACCATCACAGAGCCTTTCACCTTCTGTCTAGTGAGGTCAGATAAGAGTAAAAAGGTTGGAGAGTCCACTGCAGGCCAGGCTTTTCACTTAATTACATGGATTTGAGTATTACTGAAACATTTTGCCAATTGTTGAAAATTCAGTGAGGCAGGGGAAGACAGCAAAGAACTCAGGAGAAAAAGCTGGATTCTCCCTCCCCCACAATACATTGTTGCTGAGTATTCTAGTCTCAGAATGCATTTTGTATAAAAATACTCCCATTTTGACTCAGACTTACTGAAGGAAGTCATCAACCCTAGCAGAATAATCTCTAAACAATTGCTAAATGAGAGAAAGAACCAGAGACGGTCTACTGAAAACAGCCTTTCATTTCAACACAGAGCAGGGTTTCATTTAAGAATGCAAGAATTTGGAGAAAGAGAATCTCTGTCAACAAAAGCCTCTTTTGGTGGGACAAAGACTAACAGAGCTCTTCTGGAGCAGTCCTACAGCAAGATTAGCAAGAGTACGGCAAACCAGCAACTCTTACTAAAAACACTGTGCATAGCAGGCACATCTAGTAAGTTCTTACACTTATGCCAAGCTACCCTGCAAATAAGATAGTTCAACTGATGCTGGAGCAATTTACTTATTTTCTTCCTCTGCTGTGATACAAGTTGTACAAACTTATCTTTCCCCTTCGGTATATCATTGTTCAGGACATGAAGGTCTTCACAATTCCCCGGATGACTGCTCTGCAGATAGGACACAATCTCAAATTGAGGGCACATTCTCCACAAGCTACCAGGTGGCCACAAGGAACAAACACAACCGACACATCTCTGTCCATGCACACTTTGCACATTCTTTCCTCTTGCAGGCGTCGGAGCTGTTCTTCTGTGCTCATCCCAGACTCATCTTTACCAAAAAAGAAAAAAAAAAAAGCCCAAACTGTTAGTATTATAACAACCCCAGAGAGCCAGTCATGTCATCTTAGGAAGCCACCCTGCAACTTGCTCATCATTTTGTTCAGAGACTGACTGTGAAG